TGATCTCTTTGATCTCAATTCTTTTTGTTGTATCGAGCTGGTTTTGGTCCATGCTTCCAAATCCCTTGTTTCCTCTTATGGTTTCCTCCAGGTGATCTACTTCATGCAGGTCCTCTTTGTTAATTTTTTCGATTATCAACTGTGCGTTTCGATCGCCATTCTGGACTTGGTAGTCCTCTTGAGCTAGGTTGGCTATGACCACTTTGATTTCACCGGTATAGTCGATGTCGATCAACCCTACCATGGTCATGAGTCAGTGTTTGACTGCTAGACCACTGCGGGGTGCTATTCGTCCATAGGTGCCTTCTGGGAGTCCAATGGCTATTCCCATTGCTATCGTTGCCTGCCCGTTGGCAGGTATCCTGATTCCTTCATTGGCATATAGGTCGTGTCCTGCTGCCCCTTTGGAACCCTTGGTAGGCACTGTTGCCTCTTGGTCCAGCCTTTGTATCCGGACTCTCTTGTCTTGCCACATCGTGGTGAATTTTGCATGCAAAGTTTCTTCTTCCGCTTCTCGTATCGGTGTCGAGTAGACCACAGGTCAACTGTTGAGATATCTTGTCGCACATAGTTCACTTGTAAAGGTCATCTTGTTCTCGTTCCAATCGATCGTTGGATTATGCTTCCGTAACCATGGCATCCCTAGGACTATCTCATGGTTCTTCAGATCTGCCACTTGAAAGGTTGCCGTTTCCCTATGGCTGTCAATGTCCATAGGTACTGTCGCCGTATGGGTTATAGGACCCATTGTGCTTGGTTTTCCATCCACTAAGTAGACCTCTCTTGCTTTCTTCGCTTGTTTGGTGTGGAGGCCGTATTTGTCGCATATTTCTTTGTCGATGAAGTCTTCAGTGGCCCCCGAGTCGAGCATTGTATATATTGTTGTTTCTTCGCTTTCTCTGTTGTATATCTTCCTTTTGATCATCACATGATCTCCATCTTCTTCTCCTCTTTGCGTGTGTAGTGCCATGTAGTAGTTCGCTAATTTGATGGGTTTTCCAGGTCCACATCTTGGGTCTCCCAGACCACCGTTTACTGGGGACCCTCGTCGTTTTCCGCCGGTGAATCCTCTGCTATCATTTCGCGGATGGTGCTCCTTTTCTGATTTTGGAAACGATTATTTCCGGCAGCTCTGTTTCCCTGGTATCCGTTGTCCGGTCGGCTTCTGCATTCTCGTATCTGATGCCCTGCTTTTCCGCACCTTAGACATAGTTTCCCATTCATCCTTCTGGTGTATTCTTCCTTAGACAGATTCAGAGCCGGGCCTCCTCTTGACTTGTCTAACTCCATTGGTTCGCCTGGTGGTAATGCTCGACTTTCTCCTCGAGATGTTTGCAGTTTAAAAGTCCCGTCCCCATTCCTGGATGATTGGAACACTCTGTGCACTATAGTGTTTTCCGAGTTGCTCCAAACCATGTTTAATTTGCTTTCTTTGTCGATTGCTCATCTTGCAAATCGTTCGGCTGTCGTATAGCGCAGGTCAGAGATTCCGCATGCCTCCCGGAGTCTTTCGCTGCAGTTTCTCAGGAGGATGATGTAGAGGGTGGAATCATCAAACTCGGCCTCGTATTCCAATAGTCGACATTCGTTCCTATACGCTGGGAACGTTTATTTTCCTTGCTGGAGTTTTTCTAGTTTTCGTCTTGCTGTTTCTTTGGCATTAGGATCTCCGAATTGTTCAAAGAGTGTCGCCTTGAACTCTTCGTATGTGACCCATTCCCTCTGCTTCCTTCCATCTTGGAAAGGCATGATCCATTGCCCTGCGAGTCCTCTGAGCAGAGATTCCACATATTGAATCTTGATTTCGTTGTGTTGATCTCCATATCTCTTGACAGTAAAATATCCTTCGCATTGTGCTAAGAATATTCGCAGCTTATCTTCAGCTCCTTCGTATGTGTCGGGTTCCTTTGCTTTTGGTCGTTGAATATTTCCTTGTCCTGTATTTCGCGTGGCTGCGAGAAATGCTTGAAACTGATTTTCAGTCATTCCAAGTATACTGGTTCCTGGTGTCGGAGTGGCTGGGGCTGGTGGCCCAGGTACTGCAGATCCCGACATTCTCAGGGGTCGTGGAGTTCCTGCAGGAGAACTATCGACTGGGGATCCCTTCTCTGGGGTTACTGGGCTTGCTGCTCTCGAGGGTTCTGCTGAGATGTGGTCTAATGCATCGCTGAATCCTCCTAGGTTGAGGTTTTGATCGTCGATGTCGATATCTCCTTCCCTGTCTGGATTGAAGGATGCCGTCTTGTATCGTTTGGCGTCGCACTTAGGTGACGCTGTGTAATGTAACGATCCCTTTCTCGGTAGTTAGCTCTTGGCGACGGGGAACGATACTTATCTCTTCTGTCTTCTGCTTCCTTTGTCTAACGATAGCTATAGGCCTATGCCCACGTTAGCGATAGTACAAGACCTTTGTCTTCTATCGGGAATGCCTATCGTAAGCTTTCTCTAACTCTTCTTTGTGAAGAGCTCTCCTCTGTGTAACAACAACGTTGCAATAAAGATAAAGATCGTAAAGGTGTTTTATATTCGTTAAGTAATAAGTAGGGAAAGTACTTAGAACAAAGCGTGAAGACCCTATCTTCCTCAGCCGCATCGGCCTCCTTATATAGTGTTCTTCCCGCCTTTAATCATGTGACCTAAAGTGGTCTCATGTGTGAAACCAAATCATAACAAACTAGTCATGTGACCAAAGTGATCACATGCTCAAAACCCATGACCTCATAGCGAGGTCATGTGCAAAACTCATAAACCAATCATAACGCAATAAACAAGTCACATGACCTGACTGAGTCATATGCGCGAAACCCATGACCTCGTAATGAGGTCATGTGCGAAACATAAATCATATGCGCAAGGCTTACCTGCAAGGCACACTCGCAAGGCATACTCGTCAGGCGCATGTCCCACGACTCATACTTGAGCCATGTGCGAAAGCATTACAAATTCCACACATAACAAATCATATAACCTGAATGAGTTATATGCGCAAAACAATAACATACCTGTGACTCATAACTATGTGTCACGTGAAAACCTTTTCCATGCCAAGCCACATTCGTGACAATAGACCTCTGAAGCCTATTGAACCTGTCGTCGACTTCCCTCCATCTTACCCTTACTGTTTCCAAGGTCAGGTTCACTATCTTGATCGTGTGCCTCTGAACATCATTCAGCTGTCGTAGCCCTCCCATCGTTTTGTCGTTTGCTAAAATTGTGACTTCAGCTTGCCTAAGTTGTTTCCAGAGTCCGCGGATTTGCCTGTGTAGGCTCCTGGCGTCTGGTTCCGTTTCTGTTGATGAGTTTTGGGCTCCCCCCTCACTGGGCCTCATCCTCGAGGTCCTAGCTCTCTGCCATACTGTGGCATCTGTTTCTTCCAACTCTTTCTTTGTCCCATCTTTCTGCGGGTAGTATCCCACAGAGATTTTCTTCATCCTGTGCATCTTGCACATGTTGTTGAAGCACTGTTTCCAGTCCTTTAGGGTATGGTCCGGATGCGGACCAAACTTTTTGTATTCTCTTGTGAACCATCTCGAGCCTTCCTTGTCCCTATAGTATGTGGGACATCCATTGTCATAGCATACCGTTCATGACATGACATTATGCTGTGCTTGTTATTCCTTTTGCCTGAGTTCTTTGTCAGTCGGCCCCATGAATGAGTATTCAGAGTTGGTTGGTGTAGTTTGGCGGGAGCTATCGCCCCAGCCCTCGTGTTGTTACAATAGCATGGAAGACTTTCCCTCGCCTTTGTCTTAGCTGAGCATGATCGTTACCTGGGCCGGGTTTGCCTGGGTATTACTAGTAGAAGGTTGAGATGACATCTTGTGCGTATTAGATGATGTGTGCGAAGTATGAAGTTTTATCGTATTTGGGCGAATATCCCGTCCACTTGGCTCGGTATTGGAGGTGACCGTGGAAGAAGCGAGAATTAACTATTTCGTTTAGCTCGTATTCTGGTTCTCTATCGTGTTCAATCGGAGGAGGAGGAATAATTGTTTGTAAGGGAAACTTCTTGTTGTGTAATTTGAGGAGTAAGATGTGGAATGTGTTGTGTATTCACATCAAGGGTGGAAGGTCGAGTTTATAAGCTCGGCTGTCCACTCTTTCCAGTATCCTGAATGGTCCAATTTTCTTGTAGTCCAATTTCTTTGATAGTTACGTTGTATGGATATTGTGTGGTATTAGCGATACCATATCTCCCAGTTGTATGTTTGGATCTGGTCTTCGGTGCTTATCGTATTGTTCTTTTTGTTGTTGTTGTGCTTGACTTATTTCGTATTGTAATGTTTCGTGTAGTTTTCCCATATCTGTTTTGTCGGGTATTATACCATTAATTGTATGATATGTGGTCGGACATGGTGGATGTTATCCGTAATTTGCGAAGAAGGGTGTCGTGCCAATCATTTCATGCTTTCCAATATTGTATGCGAATTCGGCCATTGATAGCAGTTTGTACCAATCATCTTGTTGGTAATTGAAGTAGGTCCATAAATATTGTTCGAGTATCGCGTTTACCTATTCTGTTTGTCCATCCATTTGCAGGTGGAATGCTGTGCTCATCCTGTTCTGTATCTCCATTTCTCCAGTTACTTTCTTCCATAGTCCTGATGTAAATAGTGTTCCTTAATTGGTAATGATATTCTTTGGGAGGCTGTCAAGTCGGAAGACTTCTCGGAAGAATGTTTGTATAAAATTCCTGGGGTTGATATCTTTTCTGACTAGAATGAAAGGACTTATTTTGGTCAGATGATGCACTACGACCAGGATGCTATCGCAATTTTCGGATGCCGGTAGGTCCGTGATGAAATCTATAGTAATTGTTTCCCATGGTCATTTGGGAACTTGGTTTGATTTCAGTAATCCGTATAGTGTGAGTTTAGCCGTTTTTATCCTTTGGCATATATCGCAGTTTTCGACATATCGTTTGATATCTTCGCAAAGTCCTGACCAATAGAATGACCTTGTGATGGATTGCGTGGTTTTAGCTGTTCCTCTGTGTCCTGCTATTCGGATATCATGGTGTTGTTGTATGATGTTTGTTCTTATCTCTTCTTTTTCTGGGATCTATTGTTTTCCATTGTACTATATGTTTCCATCCTCCCATTGGCATAAACCCAGAGCAATTCCTTTTGTCTCCTTTTTTCCTTCCTTCAATACTTCTCTTATTGCCTGAATTGTTTTGTCTCTTTCATTTGCCTTCTCAATTTCCCTTTCCTCCATTGATGTGAATTGGATAACCTCCATTGCCTTGAAGTAGGTTTTTGGTAATAGTGTTCGTGTTTTTTGTTTGATCATTTCCTCTTCTTTCGTTTGTAGTTTGTCGCTTGCAATCCTTGTGAGAGCATCAGGCTTTCCGCTCTCTTTACCTGGTCAGTATTCGATTCTGAAGTTGTATTTGCTAAGGTGTTCTATCCACCTTATCAGGTGGTCATTCAGTTCTTCCGTAGTCATGAATGGGACCAGTTTCTTATGGTCGGTTAGAACTCGGACTGGATGGTCATTGTTCAGAACGTATCTCCTCTATTCCTTTAATGCTAGAACTATCGCTAATCGTTATTTGTTTGCAACATCGTAGTTGCACTGTGTGGGGGTCATTGTCTTGGATCGGTAAGACACTCGGCTCCATTTTCTGCCTTCGTATTGTTGCGATAGTATGCCTGAGCATACATATTTTGAGGCGTCCATTTTGATCATTGTCTTTTGGCTTGGGTTGAAATGAACCAATATTGGTGCCGATGTTAAATGCATTCGTATTGCATTGTACACTTTCTGTTCCGTTTCTTCTTATTCCCATTTCTTGTCTTTCTTTGTTAGGTTATAGAGTAGTTTTGCAAGCCTGCTAAATCCCTCTATGAACCTTCAATAAAAGTTGCAGAATCCCATAAAGTATTGAACATCTGTTTTGTTGTTTGACTTGGCCCAATCCCATATTGCTGCTGTTTTGACTGGGTCGACCTTGACCCCGCTTCGATTGATGATAAATCCGAGGTATTCTATTTCTTCTTTATAGAATTCACATTTTGTTGGTTTGATTTTCATTCCTGATCCTTGTATTGTGGCCATGATATTGCTGATATCCTTCTGGTGTTGCATGTTTTCTGAGTAGATGAGTACGTCGTCTAAGTATATGATGCAATATATGTCCACATATTTATTGAGTACCCTGTTGATCCATCTTTGGAATGAAGCCGGTGCATTGGTTAGTCCGAAGGGCATAATTAAGTATTCGAACATTCCGTATCTCGAGGCGAATGTAGTCTTCCATTCGTCTCCTGCCTTGATACGTGTGTTGTGGTATGCATCCTTGATAGTGAGCTTGGTGAAGTATTTCGCTGACTGTAGTCTATCTAGTGCCTCTCTAATTAAGGGTAGTGGATATCGATCTTTTTTGGTAACCAAATTGAAGGCTCTCTAGTCCACACAGAGTTTCATTTTTCCATCTTTCATTTTGATGAATAGTATTGGGGATCCTCCTGATGCGAAGGAGTCTCTGATCCATTCAGACTTTAGGTTTTGCTCGATATATTTCCTAAGTTCTTTGAGCTTCACTTCTCCTAGTGGGTATAACATCTTGTTGGGAATCTCTTTCATTTTTCCTGTTTTCTCGTCTATGTCCAGCTGAATTTTGTGAATGATTCCTGGTTTTCGAGGTGGTTGCTCAGTAGCTTTCTCTTCTTGGAAGAGGTTTGTGAATTGATGATATCCCTTTGGAATCAATTCTTTCCATCCCTTTTTGCTTTGATATTTCTTGTCTTGGATTGCTAGTTCCATGCTGACATTGATTTTCACTAGGGCTGCTTTTTCGTCTTCATATGTCCATTTGAGAATTCCTGTTGTATCTCCTCTTCAATAGTACTGTCCAAAAGCTTGTGCTGTGATCTCTTTGATCTCGATTCTCTTTGTTGTATTAGGCTGGTTTTTGTCCCTGCTTTCAAATCCCTTGTCTCGTCTTGTGGTTTCTTCCAGTTGATCTACTTCGTCCAGATCCTCCTTGTTGATTTTTTCGATGATCAACTGTGCAATTCGATCGCCTTTCTCGACTTCCTAGTCCTCTTGAGCCAGATTGGCCAGGACTATTTTGATTTCACCTGTATAGTCGACGTCGATCTTCTCTGCCATGGTCATGAGTCGATATTTGACTGCTAGACCACTGTGGGGTGCTATTCGTCCATAGGTGCCTTCTGGTGGTCCGATGGCTATTCCAGTTGCTATTATTGCCTGCCTGTTGGCAGGTATCTTGATTTCTTCGTTGGCATACAGGTCATGTCCTGCTGCCCCTTTGGAACCTTTGGTAGGCACTTTTGCCTCTTGGTCCAGTTTTTGTATCCGGACTCTCTTATCTTGCGGCATCTCGGCGAACTTTGCATGTAAAGTTTCATCTTCCGCTTCCCGTATTGGTATTGAGTAGACAACAGGTGAACTGTTGAGACATCGTGTCATACACAGTTCGCTGGTAAAAGTCATCTTGTACTCGTTCCAATCGATTGTCGTGTTATATTTTCTTAACCATGGTATCCCTAGAACCATCTCATGGTTCTTGAGATCTGCTACCCGAAAGGTTGCCGTTTCCCTATGGCTGTCAATGTCCATAGGTACTGTCGCTGTATGGGTTATAGGATCCATTGCGCTTGGCTTTCTATCTGCTAGGTAGACCTGTCTCACTTTCTTTGCTTTCTTGGTGTGGAGGCCATATTTGTCGCAGATTTCTTTGTCGATGAAATTTTTGGTAGCACCCAAGTGGAGCATTGCATATATTGTTCTTTCTTCGTACTTTTCGTTGTATATCCTCGTTTTGATCATCACATGATCTCCGTCTTCTTCTCCCCTCTGCGAATGTAGTGCCGTACAGTAGTTTGCTACTTTGATGGGTTTTCCAGGTCCACATCTTGGGTCTCCCAAACCCCTGTTTACTGGGAACCCTCGTTATTTTCCGCCGGTAAATCTTCTATGATTATTTCGTGAATGTTGCTCCTCTTTTGCGCTTGAAAGCGGTTGTTTCCAGCAGTCCTAGTTCCTTGGTATCCACTGTCTAGTCGGCTTCTGTATTATCGAATCCGATGTCCTGCTTTTCCGCACCTCAAGCAGAGCTTCCCATTCATTCTTCTAGCGTATTCTTCCTTTAACAGGTTTAGAGCAGTTGCTGCCTTTAATTTGTCCAACTCCATTGGCTTGCCTGGTGGTAATGCTCGACTTTCACCTCGAGCTATTTGCGGTTTGAAGGTTCCATCCACGTTCCTGGATGATTGGACCACACTATGTGCTATTGTGTTCTCATAGTTATTTCAAACTATGTTTAGTTTGCTTTCCTTATCAATCGCCCATCTTGCAAATCGTTCTGCTGTTCTGTAGCATGAGTCGGAGATTTCTCATGCCTCTCGGAGTCTCTTGCTGCAGTTTCTTAGGAGGATGATGTAGAGAGTAGTATCATTAAACTCGGCCTCGTATTCCAATAGTCAGCATTCGTTCCAGTATGTCCAAGAGGTTTGTTTTCAGTGTGGGAAATTTTCCAGCTTTTGTCTTACTGTCTCTTTGGTGTTGGGATCCCCGAATTGTCCAAAGGGTGTCGCCTTGAACTGCTCGTATGTAACACATTCCCTCTGTTTCCTTCCATCTTGGAAGGGCATGATCTATTGCCCCATGTGTCCTCTTAGTAGAGATTCCACATATGGAATCTTGATCTCATCGTGGAGTTCTCCATATCCCTTAATGGCAAAATACTCTTTGCATTGTGTCAAGAATATTCGTAGCTTGTCTTCAGCTCCATTGTATGTGTCGAGTTCTTTTGCTTTCGGTCGTTGGATGTTTCCTTATCCTGTATTTTGTGTTGCCGCTAGAAATGTCTGAAACTGATTCTCAGTCATTCCAAGTATGCTAGTGCCTGGTATTGGAGCGGCTGGAGCTGGTAGCTCAGGTACTGCTGATCCCGACATTCTCTCAAGTCGTGGAGTTCGTGCAGGAGAGCTATTGACTGGTGATCCTTTCTCTGGGGCTACTGGGCTTGCAGCCCTTCAGGGTTCTGCTAATATGTGATATAGGGTATCGCTGAATCCCCCTAGGTTAAGGTTTTGATCGTTGATGTTGATATCTCCTTCCCTATCTGGGTTGAAGGATGCTGTCTTGTATCGTTTGGTATCGCACTAGGTGACGCTTCGTAATATAACAATCCCTCCTTGGATGGTTAGTTCTCAGCAACGGGGAATGATACTTCTCTTCTCCTTCTTCTTCTTTCTTTATCTTACGATAGCGCTAGGCCTCTGCCTACATTACCGATAGTACAAGACCTCTGTCTTCTATTGGGAATGCCTATCGTAAGCTTTTTCTAACTCTTCTTTGTGAAGAACTTTCCTTGGCGTAACAATAACGTTGCAATAAAGATAAAGATTGTAAAGGTGTTTTATATTCGTTAAAGTAATAAGTAGGAAAAGTACTTAGAACAAAGTATGAAGAACCTATCCTCCATGGCCGCATCAGTCTCCTTATATAGTATTCTTCCCGCCCATTATCATATGACCCAAAGTGGTCACATGTGCAAAACCAAATCATAACAAACTAGTCATGTGACCAAAGTGGTCACATGCTTAAAACCCATGACCTCATAACGAAGTCATGTGCAAAACTCATAAACCAATCATAACACAATAAACAAGTCATATGACTCGACTGAGTCATATTCATGAAACCCATGACCTCATAACGAGATCATGTGCGAAACATAAATAATATGCATAAGGCCTATCCTCAGGGCACACTCACAAGGCATACTCGCTAGGCGCACTCCCATGACTCATATTTGAGCCATGTGCGAAAGCATCACAAATCCTACACATAACAAATCATATGACTCATAACCATGTGTCACATGAAAACCCTTTCCTCGCCAAGCCATATTTGTGACAGTATGCTACTAAATATAAATACACCAACTATTCCTCTAAATACAACGATGCTAACTCTAAAATTAGATTATAGTTATTGTATGTATAAGTATGACTGTATCAGATTTAATATTTTGTATTAACACTTATACTAGTAGCCTATAAGAGGATCTTATTAGTGTTCCTGCAAGTGTAATAATATTTACATACTAATTTTAAATAGTAGGCATTCTAATAATGCTACTTCATTACTATGCAAACTCTAATAAATGAAGAATATAAGAAGAGGTTAAATTAAGGTAAATTACGTCAACAAAATGATCCACATATTACACAATATCATTTTCATTTTCTTAGCACTAATCAAACAATATACAATCATCATCCTCTATATCTTCTTTATTATCATCTGCAGTCAGATTTTACATACTTTTACCAACTTCATCAAACCTCTTATCTCCATTTACCTGTTACTGATATAAAAGGATTTTGCATATGACTTGTTTATATTATAATTTGTTATATTTTGCACATGATTTGATTATGAGTCATGAGTCTTGTACATATGAGTTACTCGAGTCATATAACTTCTTTATGTTATAATAATCTTGCTTCACACATGACTTGATTATGAGTTATAGGTTTTGCACATATGACTCACTCGAGTCATAAGACTTGTTTACGAAGATTTCACTTGACTCAAAGTCATGAGTTATCAGGGTTAGGGCTGGCAAGAAGAGCACTATAAAAGGAAGCTGATATGGCTGAGGAGGATAGGCTCTTCATACTTTGTTCTAAGTAATTTCATTACATCTATCTTTGCTCTACCTCGATAGAGTTCCTTTCGTGCCCACGATGGTCTTCTTTATTGTAGATTTTGGGGGAGATATCTGAGTTCGCTCAGTAGTTCTGGGAGTCTTTGGTATTAAGTTCTGTCTATATCGGTGGTTGTGTTGTATTTACTTATTTTTGCCTTCCTGTTGCTATTTGATTTTCATGATGATTTCACTTTGGGCCATTACATTTTTGGCAACTATGAGACATCCTTTGGTAAAATGGTCTTCAGCTTCTCTTTCTATCATCTACTTGCAGAATTTTGCATTCAGAAGTTGGGGGATTTAGACATTACTCTGGGAGAAAACACCCAAGTCGTTTTTCGAGCCAACTCATGTTTCTTGTTGGGTTTTAATAGAGTCCTAAGTTTCTCACGCTACAAAACATGCTTAGAATAGACTGTTGACCTTTCCGTGCTTTAACATATCATACTGGTTGCATCAATCCTCACGAGATGGGGACCTCACCAGCCCTGCTCTTCGTCTACCTATCTCTACTGTCAGAATCCTACAATATTGTTTATCGCTATTCCATTGATCTCAGTTCAAGTAGCATCTAACACAGTTCAGTCAGGTGTCTTCTCCTCACTTTGACGTAGGGATGGCTTTGACTCTAAAAATTCTCACACCCTGGGGTAGCAGTTTGGCTACTCAGAGTGGTGTGGGGTAATTAGTTGCTGGGTCACATCTTAGTCATATGTAGGATTGGTGTTATTGATAGTAGTTGGTGTTCACACCTATTGCAAGTAGGGCCTACCTTCTATTTGTCTCGTTTCTGACCTTCTATCCCTTCTCTCTGGAGTGCTAGTTAGAGCACTGTCCTCCTATCTTCTTCTGGCCCTTGGGCTGGTTGTAGTGGCCTCCCAGTAGGCGGCTCCAGACTTCTTTTTCCAGCTTACTTTGACTTCAGCTCAGGAAGGCTGGATGGTGTAGTAGTTGCCAGTGCTCCTTGGGTGCTTGTATTGCCCTCTGTGTAGTTCTTAACGTTGGCTGTGGGCCTTCTCAGACTCATGCTGCTGGGGGTTGGGACTCTGTCAGTATGGCCAAGACCAGTGGCTGCCTGATGTGGTCGAGTATAGGCTGTCCTGTGGTTGTAGGATAGTTGACTTGTTTAAGAGACTGAGGGGGCTGGATAGGCCATGTGGCATCTGGTATGTGGGGCTTGGAGGAGGCTGATTGGGGAGGGAGAGGCATCTGCAAGTACCAGTCGGACTTGCATCATCTTGGATGTGGTCTAATTAAGAGTTTCTGGCCTTGCCTGCACTGTTAAGATTAAAATGCTGAGTACTGTAAACCTTACTGACAGACTGGCTGGCTAATGGCCACCTATGCGGATAGTGTGTTGAGGCCACATGGTTGGACTTGTTTGGGACTTGTACACTGGATTATGTGGAGTTTGTTTGGTTTTCTTTAGTTTGGTTGTAGGTATGGCAGGAGATGGCGGGACACCATGGGTGTGAGATAGGCCCCACTGACCAGTTTGGTCTGTTATCACCTCTATGTATTTTTCTCTGTTTGCGGTATTTGTTTGAGTCATGGGCCGTGGGTACTGGTCCTCCATACCGGTATGCTCTACTGAAGAAACTGGTAAAGTGAGATTATGGGGTCGACAACCTGAGTTGCCAGTACAAGAGGTAGACTTGCTGGTTGCCTCATTTCTGCCATTGTACCCCCTGTGCAGTTAAATTGTTGTCGGTTTTATTTTGTAGTAAATAGGAACCATAGGAGTGTATTTAGACAGAGCGGTAGTGATTTTTAGTTTGGTTTTTTGTACGGAGAACATGCCTTTATTGGACATCCCTTTGGCTTTAGGGCTTCGGCCTGGGTCTCCCCTGTCACTCATACACCTTGGTATTGTGGGGTTTGTGCTTGGTACTGCTTGGTCAAGAATGATGTGGGCTTGCTATAAGAGCTGCGGTTGGTTCTATACCACTGGCAGAGGGACTAAGGGCACTGGAGCAAGAAGGGCTTTCTTTACCATTGATGGTCTTATATTTTGTGTTTGTATTTGGGCATGGTGCAGGCATGTTTGAGGTATGGAACTGGAGGTTTAGTTAGTTCATGGTTAGTAGTAGTTCTGGTTTATGCTAACTGTGTACGGGTGGGGACTTGTTGCATGTCGGAGTTAGTGGTGCAAGTATAAATAAAAATAGATTAAATGTTCTAAGTAATTTCCTTAATTATTAATTATACGAATAAAACATCTTTATGCTCTTTATTACTTAAATCTTTTATGAGCATAAGGACGATATTTTTATACATCAGGGTAATAGGCATTACATAAGTGAATGTTGGTAAAGTAGGTCAAAGGGCCTAAGAAATATCTAAGGAAGAAAATATACATATATCAAAGAAAGATTATTATTACCTATCGCTATATATTAATTAGGACTTAGGAATATTACACTACCAAGGTACCTCGCTCCTCTGGGTGATAATTTGCTAAACCTTGAATTA